AACCTTCATAAGTTCCTTCTGATCATTTGTTTCTATCATCAGACAGTGCACCTTTAATTTATGAATTCTGGGTTCTAGAACTTTCTTCTTCAAAGAATCCAGAATAAGAGAAAAGTTCACTTTCTCGTTGCTTTTTGGAATTTTTATTGGCTCAACTTGTTCACAATACAACGGGAGTTGTTCCAATTGAAGGGATCCTAGAGTTGCATTTTTGCTTCTTACAACCATTTCCAAATCTTCCATTGATCGATTCAAAAAGTTTTCGTTTTCCAAAACAATCTCCTTATCCTTGTATCTAATCAAACATCCATTCTTGTATTTCTCATAATGTACGAATGTCCATGTTTCCGGATCCAATCCATCGTCACTGTTATCATAGAGTATCCCATAATCTCCTGTAGTTTCATTACATTCAATCACTATGGTTTCGACTTTCGGATTTGGATTTTGATTGTCAATAAAGTTACGGATATCACGGCACACTTTTCGGAGAGGTTGACTGAACAATTCTTCGGATTTTGAGTTAAATTTTGTTTTTAAAAACGAGAACTCACAGAGATTTATAATCTAATTCGTCCAAAATTCGATTCATCACCAATTCAGGCATATCGGTAAGTTTGGGAGCCATTAGAGAAAAAATTGAATCGAAAGAGAGAAAAAGGGTGAAATGAAAAAAATGAAGTGGGGAGAAGAAGGAAGAACCGATAACAAAGTAGTATTTGCTTAGCGATTAGGTAAGCACATGATTCTTCAAATAAACAAAAATCGTGCATATTGAAATTAAATTTTGTTATGTGTCATAAAAACGTCATAGTTGTTTTTAACAATGAGAATGTCTCAACTCAACGGGGAACACTGTAATAGAATGACCCCATTTCGAAACAATTTATCTCGGTTCCTGTGAAAGATATCAACAAGTGCCAAACTGACAAAATATGCTTGATATTATCTTTCTTATATATAAAACGCTAGACGCGTCTGTCCGTCCCGGTGACCGTCTGTCGACTTTTAGATTTTTAAATAAGAGTTTGGCCGCAGCCAAAACTGAACCCGCGAACTCTCGCACAACAACTGCGCACGCACACAGTTGCGCCACGAAAGGCACATAGAGAGAGGGGAGGGAGGGCGTACAGGTTCTACCTTGATTGAGAGTTTGGTGTGGCCGCCACTGCACGCCGATGCAAAGCATAGTGGTTGACGCGGGCCCGCTTTTTGTCGGCTGCTGCATTGCATCATATACCGCGTCTTCGCCACTTCGGTTGTCATTCTGAACTAATGGTGCCCAAGGAGGCAGCTAACCAAGTGAATTCCTTTCACCACAGAAAAGGGTGTGGTCATAGGGAACGGCAGATAGGAAGTGGGGCGAAAAAGCCGGTATTGCGCGTTGAGAGTTCGAGCCCGGCAGGAAGCTTTTTTTTTGAATTTTGAACACGGTTTAGAAATGAGTGAGGATGTATGCGAATGATTTTCTGAAAATGTTTCTCTTCTTGAATGAAATGGTAAAACAGAGTATCCTGTTTCTCGAGTTTTATTAGTTTGAAGTCGAGTTAAAAGTTGATTAAACTTCAAATCTTTTGTTTTCGTTTTTGTTTGGAGTCACTAAAAAACCTGGAAGAAAGTTTGATTTAAAAATCAAAACATTTTTTTTTCTGGAGAGAAAAAAAAAAGCTGAAAATAGTTGGTAAAAGGAAAAATATGTTTCTAAAATTTACTATTAGTGTAAGCGACAAAACCCGATGTTTCAGAAATTTTCTGCATTTTTGCATAGTGGTTTTTACACATCAAATTAGTATTGCTCCTTTCAATTTGTTATTTTTTATTTGCTCTCATCTACCGTACTCCAAATAATGATAGGCTAACACTCGAAAACTCTCAAAAATCAAAAAAGAGAAATTTTCAAAAACGATGTCATTACTAAAAGTATCCAAAAAAAGAAACCACATTCGCCGGATAATTTTTTTGCGTACTTCTAGACACCGTTTTCGAAATGTTCTTTTCTTGATTTTTTGAGAGTTTCCGAGTGTGAACCAGGCTTGTTCGGAAAAACAAATTCGGAAAATCGTGTTCTCGAATTTTTTCTCGACTTTTTTTTTCGGAAAATCGAGTTCTCGAATTTTCTCGAATTTCAATTAGTCAAAAACCAGTGGAAATCGCGGCGTAGCTTCAGTTTAAATTCAAAAAGTTCCAATTATCATTTTATTTTTTGAAAATTTATTAGTAGAACAATTGATTAGAAGAACAATTTTAAAACCATAAAAAGGGAAAATTCAGATCAACAGTTTAATTCCTAGAAAAGGGTAGTTATGAAAAATGGCTATGGGTTGAAAAATTTAAGCTAGAAATGGAGCTACAGGATGTTTTTGTAAACAATGTTATGCATGACTTTTTCTGGAGCCCAAACTCTGATTCCATCCTTAGTTCTTGTTCTTGTCAATGCAACATATAGCTGTCCATGAGCGAAAATCGGAGCGTCCAGAAGCAGTCCGATACGATCGAATGTTTGGCCTTGAGCCATATTGACGGTCATAGCAAAGGCAGGTCTTACTGGGAACTGACGTCTTTGGAGCACGAATGGAATCCCCGAATCGAATGATAGTTTGATTCTTGGAATCAAAACGCACAGTCCGTTTCGAACTTCAAGGTTTCGGAGGAGCATGACCAATGCACCAACTTTCAGCTCCAATTTGTGTGGTGGTAATCCTGATGGAGTCATTTTATTCAAAAATTCTGTTGGAAAGTTGGCAGCATCAGAGTGACTATTTTTGTTGTCTCCGACCTCATCAACACTGAAATACGTCTTCATCTCTCCTGGAACCATTTCCATCACTTTTTGATTCATTTGAAGTGCTTGTTGGTTGGTTGGAGAGAGAATAGCTACTTTGGAGATTTCAGAAACATTAGACCCGTTTCGAAGTAAAGATCCAAAGATTTCCTCGGCCAAATCTCCATCGCATCTGAGATCTTCTGGAACTTCCATGACTCCAGTCCCCTCTTCTCCTTTCAGACCATCGCCAATCCCAAGAAGCAAACTGAAAAAATCAGATTGAAAATTATAAATTAAATATCTAATTTTTTACCTTTTCCATTCTTCATCAGCATTTTGGGCACGCATGTTGGTCTTCAAATGGTAGACTTGGAAAAGTGGCCAAAGATGAGATCTTTTGATGGAATTTGAAATTTGCTCATCTCTTCCTTTTCTGTCCACAACTGGAAGGCACTGGCGGAAGTCGCCTCCAAGGATGATCACTTTTCCACCAAATGGTTTATCGATTTTGGTGACATCACGTAAAAGCTGATCCACTGTTTCAAGTGACGATTTGGGGCTCATAGGAGCTTCATCCCAAAATACGACATCAAGTTCGGCGAGGTATTTGGCTTCGGCGGATTGAAGATGGATGGTGGAGGTCTTACACCCATCCTTGATGTTAAGATGGAAGAAGGAAGCCACCGTTCTTCCATGAGGCAATAGAGATGCAGCGATCCCAATCCACGCAATTGGGATGACTTTCAGATGCATACCTTGGAGGATGTTGATGAGAGTAAGATATACATATGTTTTGCCGCTTCCTCCTGGTCCATCCACGTAAAAAAACCTCCTCCACTTTTCACAGCATCCAAAACTGCCTTCACAACTTCTTCTTGTTCTGATACCAACGTTGATCTCATCCTATCTCCTTCTTTTGAGCAGTAATCAAAATCAATGACTTCGTCTGGAATGATTCTCTCGTATCCAAGGCTCATCCATTTATCCAGCTTTTCTCCCATAGCATTCATTCTATCAATAAGATCATTATAAGCGAAAGCTTTAACTTTTTCTTTTGAGAAGTGCTTGTATAAAAAGTCTTCTGAGAAGTCATCCACAAATCTGAAAAACGTTGATTTTCAAAATTGAATTTTTTAAATTTCTCACCTGTACCATAACTCTTCAGCATTATGAATTTCCCCAAACATCAGCAGAGTGACGAAGAATCCTCTCAGATGTGGTGCAGAATGAAATGACGCTGCTTCTTCCAACGACTTTTCATAGAAAATGTCCTCAGTCAAGTATCCGGCAGCTTTAGCAGCATCCACAAATTTCTCATAAAAGACACCTCCAACGGTTTGCAATCTTCATAAGATTTGGCATCAGTGACGTTTAGGAGCATGACTCTCAATGCGAATCTTTCCTGATCTCCCGGAGACACGAAATGCATTCTTCCGATCGATCGTGTAGCATTTTTTCTAAGAGTCCATTTTCCTTTGGTGAATTGGAAATGTTCTGGCATCTCAACATAATAGATACCTCGGCAGTCCACAACGTCTTCTGGAATCATTCCAGTCGATTCAAGCTCATCATAACATCTTTTGTTTGCAGCAAACCACGCTGTTAGTGTTGTTTCTCGGAGCTGTCCTCTCTCTGCTGCATCTTTTTCTTCTCCTTCTTTATAAACGACTCCTTGGGCATTCTTCAGATGCACTTTGAGCTGCATAACTGGGGTGCTTCTGTCAGACATTCGGAAGTCGAAGATATGCCAAAGAGACTCTGGAGCACAGACGTATCGACCATCCAAGTAGCTGTTGACCTCATTATCCGTCCTGTGCTCGACTCCATTTTTTTCAGTGTAGATGCGGATAGCAGCTCGAGATGTACCTTTGTAAAGATATTTGTAAAGGTATTTAACTGCTCCGACTCATCGTGCATGGTTGGTGATGCGTGCTCAAAACATTTTCCAAAGGACTTTCGTGAAAGAACATCTGTTGAAAACGATGGATTCCCGATGTACAGACGACGGGACGATGGGAGAACAGTATCTTTCAAAACGAAAAATTCTGGAGTTGTTAAACTGGACAATAGAAGTGTGGTCCCATACAACAAGTACCTCTCCAGAAAGTTCTGAAGTCATGCGAATTTGGAAATTTGTCCAAAAAGCAACGAGAAAGTGAACTTTTTTTTTATTCTGGATTCTTTGAAGAAGAAAGTTCTAGAACCCAGAATTCATAAATTAAAGGTGCACAGACTGATGATAGAAACAAATGATCAGAAGGAGATTATGAAGGTTCTACCATTTTTGGATTCGGAATTTTTGAAAGAGTTGGACATTTTTAATACTGCTAATGATGAGAACAAAATGGTAGAAATGGATGAAATTCTCAAATTGGATCATTTGAATAACTTTGAAAGATTCAAAGTCAGTGGATGTATTGTTCCGGATAACCTTGTTACCAAATTATCTCATATACCGTATTGCCATATTCAAGTGAAATCAGTTAACTCCAAAGATTTGTTATTTTTGAAAGAGGTGAGGTATTCTCTAATATTTAATCTAATTCTATTGAATATTTCAGGCCATTCTTCGTCTCCCAACTTTCGAAGAATTCGAAATTAAATTCAAAATTTTCCGGACCTTAATGAATTCCTATGGAAAACTGAAGTAACTTTATCTCCTGAAAAATTTCAAAAACGTTCATATTTTCAAATGGAGGAACCTGATTCAATTCTAATGATTACTTATTCGACTCTTTATGGAAATCAAATTTCATTTGAGAAGAAAACTTTACGATGGGTGACTTCCTGTGGTCCAATTATTATTCAATGAATATCTAAATTTCAAAATGTTTTCACGTATGGTTGACATTCTCACTTTGATACAATAAATAACTAAAAACAATTTGAATGGAACTGTATAAATGAGTGGATTTTTATTATTTTGAAGGATTGGAGATTCGAAAATTTCGGCATTTTGAAAATTTTGTATTTTCAGTCAGCTAAGTTTCTAATTTAAAAAATGTTGAGCGTTTCGAATTTTCGATTTTTTTAAATGAAAAGTGTTTGATTTCTTTGCAATTTATGACTTTTTTTCGAAAATGGGTTATTCGCAGTTTTCTTTTTTTTTAGATTATAGAGCTCGAACTTGACAGTGTGAGGGTGCTCCTATAACCGGTATGTGCATTCTCTAAAAATCCTACGCCATGCGGCTATTTCAGACTCAATAGATATCATATCCTCCGATTTGAGAGCGCCCTTGTGATTCAGAAGTTTTAATTAGTTGAGTTGTTGGTCCCTCATTGTTGAAATTCACTGTGACTCTTCTATTAAACAAAACATAATCAATTTCGATTTGCCAACTATTATTTACTTGAAGAGTTATTTATTTGCCCAATCGCTAAGCAAATACTACTTTGTTATCGGTTCTTCCTTCTTCTCCCCACTTCATTTTATTCATTTCACCCTTTTTCTCTCTTTCGATTCAATTTTTTCCCTAATGGCTCCCAAACTCACCGATATGCCTGAATTGGTGATGAATCGAATTTTGGAGGAATTAGATTATAAATCTCTGTGAGTTCTCGTTTTTACAAACAAAATTTAACTCAAAATCCGAAGAATTGTTCAGTCAACCTCTCCGAAAAGTGTGCCGTGATATCCGTAACTTTATTGACGATCAAAATCCAAATCCAAAAATCGAAAACATATTGATTGAATGTAAAGAAACTACAGGAGATTATGGGATACTCTATGATAACAGTGACGATGGATTGGATCCGGAAACATGGACATTCGTACATTATCAGAAATACAAGAATGGATGTTTGGTTAGATACAAGGATAAGGAGATTGTTTTGGAAAACGAAAACTTTTTGAATCGATCAATGGAAGATTTGGAAATGGTTGTAAGAAGCAAAAATGCAACTGTAAGATTCCTTCGATTGGATCAACTCCCGTTGGATTGTGGACAAGTTGAGCCAATAAAAATTCCAAAAAGCAACGAGAAAGTGAATTTTTCTCTTATTCTGGATTCTTTGAAGAAGAAAGTTCTAGAACCCAGAATTCATAAATTAAAAGTGCACAGAATGATTATCCAAACACATGATCATAAGGAACTTATGAAGGTTCTGTCATTTTTGGATTCGGAATTTTTGAAAGAGTTGTACATTTTTACTACTGCTAATGATAAGAACAAAGTTCTAGAAATGGATGAAATTCTCAAATTGGATCATTTGAATAACTTTGAAAGATTCAAAGTCAGTGGATGTATTGTTCCGGATAACCTTGTTACCAAATTATCTCATATACCGTATTGCCATATTCAAGTGAAATCAGTTAACTCCAAAGATTTGTTATTTTTGAAAGAGGTGAGGTATTCTCTAATATTTAATCTAATTCTATTGAATATTTCAGGCCATTCTTCGTCTCCCAACTTTCGAAGAATTCGAAATTAAATTTCAAAATTTTCCGGACCTTAATGAATTCCTAGAAGCTACTGGAACATGGAAGACTGGAACCACTTTATCTTTTGAAAAATTTCAAAAAAGTTCGTATTTTCAAATGGAGGAACCTGATTCAATTCTAATGATTACTTATTCGACTCTTTATGGAAATCAAATTTCATTTGAGAAGAAAACTTTACGATGGGTGACTTCCGGTGGTCCAATTATTATTCAATGAGCTATAATTTGTATATGCCTTTTTATATTAAAAATATGACATCAACTTTTGAAATTAATCCGAATCATTCTTATGATAAATCAATGAAATTGCTTCTCTTTTTCTATGTCTGTCCGCACATTTTTGAAAACTTGAACATAAAATATAAAATGACCTGATTTTTTCAAAAAATGAGGAGCGGAGTGACGAACATTAAAAGAAATAGGTTAGATTGCGCCGAAGACGCACCAGCCAGCTGAGGCGCGGCAAACGGCTGCTAGTTTTCAGTAAATTTTAAAAAAGAACATCAACAAATTCTACAAGTCGTTGCGCAGTATTGTTTCTTTTGCTCTTTTGTATACAATTCACTTGTACAGTATCCCTTTTCCTTCCACGTGGCACAAGAAGCAGAAGTATCCGGATTCCAACAAGGGTTCAATGGATCTTCTATTACAGTTGGCATACGTGTAGTTGCACCTTGTCCACAGAATCCACAGTAATTCGGACAATCCTGAGCAATGTAGTCGTGGAAAATTGGAGAGAGACAGTGATCAGGTGTCAGGAGGTCACAGTTGATACGGGGGACTGGAAAAAGGGAATTCAGAAAATTCCGAAACTCAAAAAAAACTTACACAATGAATTTTTACACTCGAATTCTGGCGTCAGGCAGCAAAATCCACAAGTTTTCGCACAATTTTTAATTGCCGATTTTTTGAGTTCTTGACTTTCTGGTCCTCCGATTTCAGTTGCACCATAGCATAAGAACGGTCTGGCCGCTGAATTTCCAAAAGCAGGAAATCCAGATCCTTGAGATGTTTCTGGGTACATGGATTCGCAAATTTCATCTGGTAAGGAATTCGAACAAGCCGTTGCAGTGTACAGATATTTTCCCTGAACATTTATAACGGGTTACTGTAGCACGTGTTACAGAAATTACCAAAAGAGTGTGCGATTCGGGTTATTGAAGATATCATGGACAATTGAAATTGATTTCATTTAATTTGTTGGATGTACAAAGCAATTACGAACATTTACTGATTTTTTTCAGAATAACATTTATTTTAAATTCAGAAATTTTGATTTTCGGTTTGAAATTTCAAAAATCAACTTCCCTGATACAAACTTTTTCCCTCACCTTCCTCTCCGCAAACTTCCACTTTCCCGCCCTTCCTCTATGCCATAACCTCCTGCCTCCGCCATCTGCTTCCGTGGCGCAATAGGCAGCGCGTTCGGCTGTTAACCGAAAGGTTGGTGGTTCGAGCCCACCCGGGAGCGAAATTGTTTTCTTTCTTTTTTGGTTTACTTTATTCCTTCCGAAAGCTAAAAAACATTATTTATCTTCCTTTAGTGACACTTTGAGGAAATGCAAGGAAACATTTGCATTAGTTGTTTAACAGAATTCCTCAATAAGTTAGATGTTAACAAAAGTGTCACGGCTGAGCAAGCGCCGTGCTCCTGGAGCATAAGAAAAAGTATTTCCGCTACAATTGGGTAGTTTATAGTGATAAAACTGGCCAAGAAGTACATGAAAAGAGGGAAACATATCAAGATGATGTGTATCAAGAACTGAAAAGGAATTATATTGAAAACACCTCCCAAGACATCAACTTTGAGCCGATTTAGCTCATTTTCTGTGAAAGATATCAAAAAGTGATCAACAGATAAAATGTTGGTGATATTATGATAAACATTTTATCACTGGACACCTTCTTGATATATTTCACAAGAACCGAGATCAATAGCCTCAAAGCCGGCAACTCACCGCCGCCAGTAAAATGTTCAATAAATTTTTCTGAATACTTGCAGTTTTATTGGAAATTCTTGCAGATTTGGAATTCAAAATATTATAAGTAACCAATGCTGTAATTTCTGAATTTCTGAATTTCTGAATTTCTGAATTTCTGAATTTCCTAACTTCTGAATTCCTGAATTCCTGAATTCCTAAACTCCTGAATTCCTGAATTCCTGAATAAAACTCACGAATTTATAAAAACTAATAAAACTCCAGAATTTCAGAATTTTGAAATTAGCGATTTTGAGAAATTCATATATTTTTAACTTTCTGAATTATCGAAGTTTCTGTCTTCAATTTTCTGTTTATCCGTTTGTCCAGATGTCCTAAACTGTCAAGCTAAACTAAATTCATTTCCTCCATACAGTTCAGCTGTATAAACATTTTCAAACATTAATAAATCAAAAGTCATGAATCCACCCCAATTAACACCAAACATGCCCAAACACCAAGAAAGCTGTTCAAATTTTCCAAACTCATTTTTTCCCAAAATTATATAAAATCTAACATTTTAAAACCATTTTTATAACGAAAAATGATATTCACTGTAGTATTGACTCTTTTTCTAATCATCTACACTTCCGCTACCATCGTGGATGATTTATCTTGTTCTAGCCAGGTAATACTGTAACACGTGCTACAGTAACCCGTTATAAATGTTCAGGGAAAATATCTGTACACTGCAACGGCTTGTTCGAATTCCTTACCAGATGAAATTTGCGAATCCATGTACCCAGAAACATCTCAAGGATCTGGATTTCCTGCTTTTGGAAATTCAGCGGCCAGACCGTTCTTATGCTATGGTGCAACTGAAATCGGAGGACCAGAAAGTCAAGAACTCAAAAAATCGGCAATTAAAAATTGTGCGAAAACTTGTGGATTTTGCTGCCTGACGCCAGAATTCGAGTGTAAAAATTCATTGTGTAAGTTTTTTTTGAGTTTCGGAATTTTCTGAATTCCCTTTTTCCAGTCCCCCGTATCAACTGTGACCTCCTGACACCTGATCACTGTCTCTCTCCAATTTTCCACGACTACATTGCTCAGGATTGTCCGAATTACTGTGGATTCTGTGGACAAGGTGCAACTACACGTATGCCAACTGTAATAGAAGATCCATTGAACCCTTGTTGGAATCCGGATACTTCTGCTTCTTGTGCCACGTGGAAGGAAAAGGGATACTGTACAAGTGAATTGTATACAAAAGAGCAAAAGAAACAATACTGCGCAACGACTTGTAGAATTTGTTGATGTTCTTTTTTAAAATTTACTGAAAACTAGCTGTCTGTTTGCCGCGCGTCAGCTGGCTGGTGCGTCTTCGGCGCAATCTAACCTATTTCTTTTAATGTTCGTCACTCCGCTCCTCATTTTTTGAAAGGATCAGGTCATTTTATATTTTATGTTCAAGTTTTCAAAAATGTGCGGACAGACATAGAAAAAGAGAAGCAATTTCATTGATTTATCATAAGAATGATTCGGATTAATTTCAAAAGTTGATGTCATATTTTTAATATAAAAAGGCATATACAAATTATAGCTCATTGAATAATAATTGGACCACCGGAAGTCACCCATCGTAAAGTTTTCTTCTCAAATGAAATTTGAGTTCCGTAAAGAGTCGAATATGTAATCATTAGAATTGAATCAGGTTCCTCCATTTGAAAATATGAACTTTTTTGAAATTTTTCAAAAGATAAAGTGGTTCCAGTCTTCCATGTTCCAGTAGCTTCTAGGAATTCATTAAGGTCCGGAAAATTTTGAAATTTAATTTCGAATTCTTCGAAAGTTGGGAGACGAAGAATGGCCTGAAATATTCAATAGAATTAGATTAAATATTAGAGAATACCTCACCTCTTTCAAAAATAACAAATCTTTGGAGTTAACTGATTTCACTTGAATATGGCAATACGGTATATGAGATAATTTGGTAACAAGGTTATCCGGAACAATACATCCACTGACTTCGAATCTTTCAAAGTTATTCAAATGATCCAATTTGAGAATTTCATCCATTTCTAGAACTTTGTTCTTATCATTAGCAGTAGTAAAAATGTACAACTCTTTCAAAAATTCCGAATCCAAAAATGACAGAACCTTCATAAGTTCCTTATGATCATGTGTTTGGATAATCATTCTGTGCACTTTTAATTTATGAATTCTGGGTTCTAGAACTTTCTTCTTCAAAGAATCCAGAATAAGAGAAAAATTCACTTTCTCGTTGCTTTTTGGAATTTTTATTGGCTCAACTTGTCCACAATCCAACGGGAGTTGATCCAATCGAAGGAATCTTACAGTTGCATTTTTGCTTCTTACAACCATTTCCAAATCTTCCATTGATCGATTCAAAAAGTTTTCGTTTTCCAAAACAATCTCCTTATCCTTGTATCTAACCAAACATCCATTCTTGTATTTCTCATAATGTACGAATGTCCATGTTTCCGGATCCAATCCATCGTCACTGTTATCATAGAGTATCCCATAATCTCCTGTAGTTTCATTACATTCAATCACTATGGTTTCGACTTTCGGATTTGGATTTTGATTGTCAATAAAGTTACGGATATCACGGCACACTTTTCGGAGAGGTTGACTGAACAATTCTTCGGATTTTGAGTTAAATTTTGTTTGTAAAAACGAGAACTCACAGAGATTTATAATCTAATTCGTCCAAAATTCGATTCATCACCAATTCAGGCATATCGGTGAGTTTGGGAGCCATTAGGGAAAAAATTGAATCGAAAGAGAGAAAAAGGGTGAAATGAATAAATGAAGTGGGGAGAAGAAGGAAGAACCGATAACAAAGTAGTATTTGCTTAGCGATTGGGCAAATAAATAACTCTTCAAGTAAATAATAGTTGGCAAATCGAAATTGATTATGTTTTGTTTAATAGAAGAGTCACAGTGAATTTCAACAATGAGGGACCAACAACTCAACTAATTAAAACTTCTGAATCACAAGGGTGCTCTCAAATCGGAGGATATGATATCTATTGAGTCTGAAATAGCCGCATGGCGTAGGATTTTTAGAGAATGCACATACCGGTTATAGGAGCACCCTCACACTGTCAAGTTCGAGCTCTATAATCTAAAAAAAAAAGAAAACTGCGAATAACCCATTTTCGAAAAAAAGTCATAAATTACACTTTTCGGAGAGGTTGACTGAACAATTCTTCGGATTTTGAGTTAAATTTTGTTTGTAAAAACGAGAACTCACAGAGATTTATAATCTAATTCCTCCAAAATTCGATTCATCACCAATTCAGGCATATCGGTGAGTTTGGGAGCCATTAGGGAAAAAATTGAATCGAAAGAGAGAAAAAGGGTGAAATGAAAAAAAGAAGTGGGGAGAAGAAGGAAGAACCGATAAAAAAGTAGTATTTTTGGATTTGGATTTTGATCGTCAATAAAGTTACGAAGATAATGGCACTCTTTTCCGAGGGGTTGACTGTAAAATTATCTTTTTTCAAGCGCCATTTCCTGTATAAAAAATGAGAACTCACATAGATTTATAATCCAATCTGTCCAAAATTCGATTCATCACCAATTCAGGGATATCGGTGAGTTTAAGAGCCATTAGAGAAAAAAATTGAGTTGCAAGAAGGAAAAAAAGTAAGCATGAAAACTGAGCCATCAGAGAAAACGGAGCTGTAAGCAGAAAAAAGGCAAAACGAGAACGGAAAATTTGGGGAGAGATGGGAAGATCCGATAACAAAGTAGTATTTGCTTAGCGATTAGGTAAGCACATGATTCTTATAATGAACAAAAATCGTGCATATTGAAATGAAATTTGTTATGTGTCATAAAAACGTCATAGTTGTTTTTAACAATGAGAATGTCTCAACTCAACAGGGAACACTGTAATAGAATGACCCCATTTCGAAACAATTTATCTCGGTTCCTGTGAAAGATATCAACAAGTGCCAAACTGACACAATATGCTTGATATTATCTTTCTTATATATAAAACGCTAGATGCGTCTGTCCGTCCCGGTGTCCGTCTGTCGACTTTTAGATTTTTAAATAAGAGTTTGGCCGCAGCCAAAACTGAACCCGCGAACTATCGCACAACAACTGCGCACGCACACAGTTGCGCCACGAAAGGCACATAGAGAGAGGGGAGGGAGGGGGTACAGGTTCTACCTTGATTGAGAGTTTGGTGTGGCCGCCACTGCACGCCGATGCAAAGCATAGTGGTTGACGCGGGCCCGCTTTTTGTCGGCTGCTGCATTTCATCATATACCGCGCCTTCGCCACTTCGGTTGTCATTCTGAACTAATGGTGCCCAAGGAGGCAGCTAACCAAGTGAATTCCTTTCACCACAGAAAAGGGTGTGGTCATAGGGAACGGCAGATAGGAAGTGGGGCGAAAAAGCCGGTATTGCGCGTTGAGAGTTCGAGCCCGGCAGGAAGCTTTTTTTTGAATTTTGAACACGGTTCAGAAATGAGTGAGGATGTATGCGAATGATTTTCTGAAAATGTTTCTCTTCTTGAATGAAATGGTAAAACAGAGTATCCTGTTTCTCGAGTTTTATTAGTTTCAAGTCGAGTTAAAAGTTGATTAAACTTCAAATCTTTTGTTTTCGTTTTTGTTTGGAGTCACTAAAAAACCTGGAAGAAAGTTTGATTTAAAAATCAAAACATTTTTTTTTTCTGGAGAGAAAAAAAAAAGCTGAAAATAGTTGGTAAAAGGAAAAATATGTTTCTAAAATTTACTATTAGTGTAAGCGACAAAACCCGATGTTTCAGAAATTTTCTGCATTTTTGCATAGTGGTTTTTACACATCAAATTAGTATTGCTCCTTTCAATTTGTTATTTTTTATTTGCTCTCATCTACCGTACTCCAAATAATGATAGGCTAACACTCGAAAACTCTCAAAAATCAAAAAAGAGAAATTTTCAAAAACGATGTCATTACTAAAAGTATCCAAAAAAGAAACCACATTCGCTGGATAATTTTTTGCGTACTTCTAGACACCGTTTTCGAAATTTTCTTTTTTTTTTGATTTTTTGAGAGTTTCCGAGTGTGAAGCTATCATTATTTGGAGTACGGTAAATGAGAACGAATAGAAAAACAGAAGAAAAAGAAACTGAATGAAGCAATACTCATTTGGTGTGAAAACTTCACTATACAAAAATGTACACTATACAAAAACTTACGAATTTTCGTATTTTAAAGTAGACAGCTAAATATGGAAGTTTGAGAGTTTTTAAGTTTCTGAATAGAAATACCGGAAATTCAGTAAATCTAGCTAGAAGCTAGAAACGGAGATTCAAAAGCTCAAAAACGTGGGAATCAAAAAATGAAGTTCATCTTCATTCATTTGGAAAGAGAAATCAAAAAATGAGGAGCGGAGCGACAAACAGTGCGATAAATAGGTTCGATCGCGCTGAAGGTGCACTATCCAGCTGTTTGAAGCGCCGGAGGCGCGGAAAACAGGCTGGTAATAAACATTTTGTCAGTTAACCACTTTTTCATATCTCTTACAGGTAATAAGATATATGGGCTCGTGTTTGAATTGTTGAAACTAACTGTGACGTTTGAAATACAAGAAACATTTCATTTCAAAATGAATGTTTATTTGAAAAAACTATTTGTTTGCTGAATCGCTAAGTCGTTATCAGTTTCTTTCCTTTTTCGAAAACGCAATTTTCATCTCTCCTTTCTTTTCCTTCTTTTGACAGTATTCTTGTCTAATGGCTTCTAAACTCACCGATATGCCTGAACTGGTGATGAATCGAATTTTAAGCAAATTGGATTATAAATCTATGTGAGTTCTCGTTTTTTATTCATTTCATTTTTTTCCTGAACTCGAAAAAACCCGGAGAACTTTTCAATATACTTTGTGATAAATGAACCACTTGAAGTTGAGAATTATTCAGTCAACCTCTCCGAGAAGTGTGTCATGATATTCGGAACTTCATTGACAATCAAAATCCGAATCCGAAAATCGATAAAATCTTGATTGCATGTAAAGAAGATACAGGAGAATATCAGATTCACTATGATAGCAATGCCATTGGATTGAATCTCGATGGGAGACATGGAAATGATTTTAAGAAGCAAAAATACAACTGTAGATTATCTTTCATTGGATCAACGTTCATTGGATTGCGGAACAGTTGACCCGATACAAATCACAAAAGGAAATAAAAAAGTGGACTTTTCTCTTATTCTGGATGCTCTGAGGAAGAATGTTCTAGAACCTAGAACTCATAAATTAAAGGTGCGCGGACTGACAATACAAACGGCTCATCGGAAGGAGATCATGAAGGTTCTGCCATTTTTGGATTCGGAATTTTTGAAAGAGTTGTACATTTTCACTACCCCTGATGATAAGAACAAAGTTCTAGAAATGGATGAAATTCTGAAATTGGATCATTTGAATAACTTAGAAAGTTTTGAAATCAGTGGATGTATTGTTCCGGATAACTGTGTCATTAAATTAGCTCATGTACCGTATAACGATATTCGAGTGGACTCAATTAATTCAAAGGATATGTTATTTTTGAAAGATGTGAGTCATTTTCTAATTTTTCATCTATTATTTTTTAAGATTTCAGGTCATTCTTCGTCTTCCAACTTTTCGAAAATTCGATATTTCATTTCAAAACTTTCCGGATCTTATTGAATTCGTAGAAGCTACTGGAACATGAAAGACTGGAACTACTTTATCTCCTGAAAAATTTGAGATAATGACATATTTGCAAACGGAGGATATTGATTCGATTCTAGAGATTACGTTTTCGACTCTTAACGGGAACAATATTACATTTGAAAAGAAATCTCGACAATTTGCGACTTCTAGTGGTCCAATTGTTATTCAATAAACATCTGAATGTAAATTTTTAGTGTTTTCTTCACAAAAATTTGAAAGTACTACATATTTTAATGCAATAACAAAACTAATTTTTTCGAATTCTGAAAGTCAAATTTCCGAATTTAAGAATTTTTGAAATTTTAGTTTTGTGTTTCAAATTTGAAATTCCTGAATTATTTATTTATTTTTTTTTTCAATTTTTCAATTCTTGGGGTTTTTCAATTTTTTTATTTAAAGGGGGACTCCGACCAAAAATTTTTATTGCATTAAAATGTTTGAACAATTGTCTATTTTCCTAATATTATAGCGAAAATATTCGAAAAAAATCCGAAATCCCCGAAAAATGCCGTTAAAAGCGAAAAAATTTCAAAAAAAGTTGCTAGGAGGGACGAGGATTTGAATTCCCGCGCAGTGAGAAACCTAGGCCACAGCGCCTGACAACCGTTTTTTCAAGTGGCCGACAGTGGTTTTTTACTTTTTTTACCTGCCGGACATGAACACCGTAAAAATCCGGAAAAATTTCCATGCAAGAAAGGCGCTATGATGCCGTGTCCTAGGTTTCTCACTGCGCGGGAATAATCCTATTTTTTTTCAACGCCGTTTTTCGGGGATTTAGGATTTTTTTTGAATTTTTTCGCAATAATATTAGGAAAATACATTTTAGGGCAATAAAAATTTTTGGTCGGAGTCCCCCTTTAAACTATTTGAGGTTAACGGAATTTATAATTTTTTGTTCGAATAGATGTTTTGCAGTTGCAGACGTCTAGGTTTTGTAAATTTTCATTTTTCTGGGAATTTTCGAATTTTCAAAGTTTTGTTTATATTTTTACAATTTACACAAATATTGACAAATTAATTTGAAAACTGTCTAATTATCGAAAAAAAAAATCAAAGTTTTTCAAGAAAAACTTCAGGAAAATTTCCGCCAGAGATCAAATAATTCTTCTTTTTTCTTGTTTGCACATTTCCGCTGCTCTTTTCTTTATTTTTCTATTATTTACATAATTTTTCTCTTCCGCACAAATCACAAAAAAATCATAGAACATTTACAAGTACAAAAAGAGATTTTTGAAATTTTGGAAATCCAAAATTTTCATTTTACAATGAATTCTCCAAGAAATTCTAGTATTTCTGATATGCCTGAATTGATTTTATGCAAAATTTTTGGATTTTTGGATTTCAGAGAAATGTGAGTATTTTTAGAAAATTCAGGAATTCAGAAGAAATTCAAAAATTCTAAAATTCTAAAATTCTAAAATTCTAAAATTCTAAAATTCTAAATTCAAAAATTCAAAATATCGAAAATTCAAAAATTCAAAAACATTCCAAAATTCAGAAACTCTGGAAATCCTAAGTTCAGAATCTTAGTTATTCAGAAAAGTAAAAATTTAATTTTTCAGCCAAACCATTCGAAAAGTCTCCAAAAGCCTTCGAAACTTTATTGATGACGTCAGACCGGATTCGAAAATTCTGGAAATTTCCATAGAAGAAAATTCTGAAAACGAAAATCTGGAAATCAAATATAAAACCAAATTTCAGACATTTTTAGTGAAATATGAAATTTCGGAAAATCTGAAAAGAGCAATTTCAGATTTAAATTTGATTATGAAAAATCAAAAATCAGTTTTGGAAACTTTTATTCTTAAAAATCTTTCGAATTTTAGATGTTCAGAAATTCTGAAAACACATAAAATATTGACAATTGAAGAACTAGTTATGGAAACTGAAAATCAAGAGGAAATTTTAGAAATTTTAACATTTTACAAAATTTCAAAACTCCACATTTTTAGCCTAGAAGAATTTCCAAAAAATTTGAAAATTGAAAATTTGGTGGAATTGGAAAACTGGAAAAACCTAGAAGAGATTTCAATTGAAGGATGTCAAATTTCAAAAAAGTATTTGGAACATTTTTTGAATTTTTCAAAATTTTCTATTGATTTGGAGGACGTTGAAGCGGAAGATCTCATTTATTTGAAAGAGGTGGGAATTTCGAATTTTTGAAATCAATTTTTAGGTCACGACCTAGATTTCAATTTTCGGGTCATGACCTAGAATCGAATTTTTAGGTCACGACCTAGATTTGGATTTTTAGGTCATGGCCTAGATTTCAATTTTTAGGTCGTGACCTAGATTTGGATTTTTTGGTCATGGCCTAGATTTCAAATTTTAGGTCGTGACCTAGATTTGGATTTTTAGGTCATGGCCTAGATTTCAATTTTTAGGTCATGACGTAGATTTGAATTTTAAAGTCATAACCTAGGTTTCAATTTTTAGGTCATAACCTAGATTTCAATTTTTTAGATCGTGACCTAGATTTTTAAGTCATGATCTAGATTCTCACAAAAATTCGGAATAGTTCGGAACATCAAAAATTCCAAGAATTGAAGTTTTTCAGAATCTTCTCGAATCATCAAAATTCCAAAAATTCACGTTGTTCTACACCAAATTACTCAACATTCAGCAACTCTACGACACATTTGGACCCCCAGATCTTGATCCTAATTTTTATGGTTTGGTTAAATTCTGGAAGTTTCCGTTTCCAGAAAACTCTGATTATCTGAAAATGAGTATTATGGAATTTGAGATGCCGAAAATTTTGTGCACTCGATGTTGTGAATAGATGGTTTTTTTTCATGATTTCTATCGATTTTTTGAAATTACAATTTCCCTCATCCAAACTTTTTCTCTCACCTCCCTCTCCGCAAACTTCCACTTTCCCGCCCTTCCTCTATGCCATAACCTCCTGCCTCCGCCATCTGCTTCCGTGGCGCAATAGGCAGCGCGTTCGGCTGTTAACCGAAAGGTTGGTGGTTCGAGCCCACCCGGGAGCGAAACTTTTTTTTCTTTTTTTCTTTTCTTGAAAGATACTTCACTTCATTAAAAAAATTCTTTATCTTCCTTTGATAACACTTTGGGGAAATGTAACAAGCATTTGCACAAATTTTTTAACAGAACTTCTTAATAAATTAGAAGTTAAGAGAAGAGTAACGGCTGAGCAAGCACCGTGCTCCTGGAGCATAAGAAAAAGTATTTCCGCTACAATTGGGTAGTTTATAGTGATAAAGTTGGCCAAAAAATACATGAAAAGAGGTAAAAATATCAATATGATGTGTACCAGGAACTGCAGAAAAGATTATATTAACACCTGTTTTTTCCAAACCATCAACTTTGAGCATACAAATCTCTTTTTCTGTGATAGATATCAAAAAGTGATCAACAGATAAAATGTTGGTGATATTATGATAAACATTTTATCACTGGACACCTTTTTGATATATTTCACAAGAACCGAGATCATTAGGCTCAAAGCCGGCAACTCACCGCCGCCAGTAAACTGTTCAATAAATTTTTCTGAATACTTGCAGTTTTCTTGGAAATTCTTACAGATTTGGAATTCAAAATATTGTAAGCAACCAATGCTGTGAATCCAGCAGCTAGAGCTCCAATGACTAGAGAAATGTAAGCAAAAATGAAGAAAAGTAGGAAATAAATCGAGTCGAGGACCATAAAATAACAATTCGAACACCAGAAATGTTCTGGAAATTTCCCATATTTTAGTTCCATTTTCGCCTTATAATCCAATTGACTTTTAAGATCCGAGGTGATAAGAAATATAAAAATTGTGGTGATAACAAAGAAAACATACAAAAAATAGCGAAGAATGAATGGTAGTTTGTGGAAATTTCGTTTTTCCACATACAAAAGTGTCGCTTTCATACGATGGATCAGAATTGATAGGGCGGAGAATCTGGTGAAAAATAAAAGAAGAACGAAAATTTGAAAATTTAAGGCAGAAAATTCTGGAAACAGACCATTGGAGCAGAGAATTGGAATTGGGACAGGGACGTTGGCACGCCAGAATATTGACATTTGAATTTCCAATAAAACACCTCTGGAATACATTTTTTTCGAATTTTAAATTTAGATTTTCAGAATTTTCAGAGTTTTTTTTCAGAATTTTTTAGTTGTTTTCAAATTTTTGATTTAAAAATCCAAACCTTTTGAAATTTTTTGATTTTCTGAATTTTTGGATTTTTGAATTTTCTTTGGAATTTGAAAATTTTCGCATGGGAACACTTACGAAACAAGATGAGCAATCAGGTAATTTCGATATCGATTATCGAAATATTTTGGACATTTAAAAATCAAAACTGAGAACGTTATCGCATAAATTGGAATTGATAAAATCGAACAGATATACTGACTGATAATAGAAAAGAGGAATATTTCTGGGTGACAATTTGACATTTTTCTAGGGAAATTCGGGTTGTTTTTTGTAGTTAGGAAAAAGGAATAAAGTGGATGAATAATATTTTTTGAACAGGTGAAAAAGTTAATTACCCAGCAGGTGAGAAAAGCTCGAATTCGGTTTCGAGGTCGGCCTAGATTTCTGTTTTGAAGTTGTGACCTAGGTTTTCCAAAATTCCAAAAAATTGAAAATTTCCAGAATCTTCTCGAGTCTTCAAAATTCTATAAATTCACATTGTTCTACACCAAACTTCTCGACATTCAGCAACTCTACGACACATTTGGACCCCCAGATCTTGATCCTAATTTTTATGTTTTTGTAAAACACTGGAAATTTCCTTTTCCAGAAGATTCAGATTTTCTGAAAAAAAAGAGTATTATGGAATTTGAGATGCCGAAAATAATGTTCAATCGATGTTCTGAACAAAGTGAATTTCCAGTTTTAAAGGTGGGGAGACATGAACAAATACTGTTCTCGAAATTCCGTTCGAATATGCCCCTCGAGGAGTTGAACTTGTCGAGGCGAGTGTTGAAGGTTACTGTTGAGCCGCTACCGACTGAGCCACGCAGGCAAAGAGGAGCGTGCGCCCGATGGTAAACATAAGTGTGAGGACAACAGCTGTACGCATAGTGACATTAAGCAGTACGGTAGTACCGTTACGGTAGAATGCATACCCTGGCTACAAAAATCCTACGAAAAATCTCCTGTCCCCCCACCTTTAACATGTTTTAGTTTTCAAGTTTTTTTTAAAACTATCTCTGAGAAACCCGAAAACACCATGGCAATGGAAGCAAAAAAGTGCATTTTTCGCTACTTCCGGGTTACTGTAGAAATTTGTTCCCAACACAAAAAATGGTCATAAAAGTGCCAGAAACTGAAATCTGAAACATTTAGGTCGATATCATTATTTTGAACAAATATAATTTTTCGGGGTTACGGTATTATATCGCGGCCAGGAGGGGCGTGGCCTATGGGTACCATGGTCAAAAGTCTTAGAGTATCCCCTATACCCACCCCATACAATATCAGACTTCTACGACCATTTTGAATATTTCCGTTGCCATCGCCTGTTGACCCGATATCAATTCTCTCAGAAAATGTGTCTTAAGTTCTAGTATTTCAGAATTTCAGACTTCCGGGACTTCCAGAAAATTTGGAATTTTTGAAAACTGAATTAGCCAAACTGCCACACAGAAATTTCCTTATTTTCCACTATCTGTCAATATATCAGTTTCATGTTATCAATTCCAATTTATGCGATTTTTAAATGCCCAAAATATTTCGATAATCGATATCGAAATTATTTGATTGCTCACTTGTTTCGTAATTTTTCTGATCCGAAAATGCAGAAAAATTAGATATAATATTCCAGAAAATTTTTTATTTCTAAAAATGAATAAAAGCAGATTCGAATGATTCTAGAAACTCAAAAAAAAAGAAAAAAAAATCTCAAAATTTGAAAAAAAAATATAATATTTTTAAATTAAAATTAAACTACCTATAATATTAAAAACACCGAAAAATTCATAGAAAATTTTTAAAAATTTCAAAGAAAAATTCACAATTTTTGAAAATTTCAGAAATTCAGGAATTCAGAAATTCGAAAAAACAAAAAATTAAAAAATCAAAAAATAAGAAATTCAGAAATTCAGAAATTCAGAAATTCAGAAATTCAGAAATTCAGAAATTCAGAAATTCAGAAATTCGGAAATTCAGAAATTCAGAAATTCAGAAATTCAGAAATTCAGAAATTCAGAAATTCAGAAGTTCAGAAATTCAGAAATTCAGAAATTCAGAAATTCAGAAATTCAGAAATTCAGAAATTCAGAAATTCAGAAATTCAGAAATTCAGAAATTCAGAAATTCGGAAATTCAGAAATTCAGAAATTCAGAAATATTCAGAAAAATTTATTGAACATTTTACTGGCGGCGGTGAGTTGCCGGCTTTGAGCCCAATGATCTCGGTTCTTGTGAAAGATATCAAAAAGCTGTCCAGTGATAAAATGTTTATCATAATATCACCAACATTTTATCAGCTGACTACCTTTTGATATCTTTCACAGAAAATGAGCTAAATCGGCTCAAAGTTGATGTCTTGGGAGGTGTTTTCAATATAATTCCTTTTCAGTTCTTGGTACACATCATCTTGATATGTTTCCCTCTTTTCATGTACTTCTTGGCCAGTTTTATCACTATAAACTACCCAATTGTAGCGGAAATACTTTTTCTTATGGTCCAGGAGCACGGCGCTTGCTCAGCCGTGACACTTTTGTTAACATCTATTATTGAACTTATTGAGGAATTCTGTTAAACAACTAATGCAAATGTTCCCTTGCATTTCCTAAAAGTGTCAATAAAGGAAGATAAATAATGTTTTTTATGCTTTCGGAAGGAATAAAGTAAACCAAAAAAGAAAGAAAAAGATTTCGCTCCCGGGTGGGCTCGAACCACCAACCTTTCGGTTAACAGCCGAACGCGCTGCCTATTGCGCCACGGAAGCAGATGGCGGAGGCTGGAGGTTATGGCATAGAGGAAGGGCGGGAAAGTGGAAATTTGCGGAGAGGAAGGTGAGGGAAAAAGTTTGTATCAGGGAAGTTGATTTTTGAAATTTCAAACCGAAAATCAAAATTTCTGAATTTAAAATAAATGTTATTCTGAAAAAAATCAGTAAATGTTCGTAATTGCTTTGTACATCCAACAAATTAAATGAAATCAATTTCAATTGTCCATGATATCTTCAATAACCCGAATCGCACACTCTTTTGGTAATTTTGCCAGTTTCGAAGCTACATACAGCAGATGGATATCCTTTTGCATTCGTTGTTGTCTCTCCAATAAATCGAAAATTTGCATTAATTGAGCAAAATGGGCGGGGCTTCGATTTCTGAGACAATGATCGAAAAGGGCGTCAGCATACTTTTCACGTTCGATTGCAATCGTTTTTTGAGCATTTGGCGAGAGATCGGGGACCGCTGGAAAGATTGGATTTTTTTGTGCAAGTTTGGGCAAAATTTCACTTATTTTTCATTATTTTCTTGCTGCTACCGTAATTCCTCCAAATGAAGCTCATTCAAACCTTCCACTTCGAGCTCAATTATCTCGGTTCCTACAGAAGCTACTTAAAATCTGTAAACTAACTAATTGTTTCTCATGATATCACCAATATTTCATCAGCTGGCAAAATTTTGATATCTTCCACAGGAACCGAGATAAATAGGCTCGAAGGGAACGGGGTTTGAGTGGGTTTCTATTAGAGGGAATACGGTATTAGAAGTTTTACTATTTCGGTTTTTTTTTTCTGAAAGTTTCAGTAGTTTCAACTATTATCGACAAATTCTAAGTCATTTTAGACAGATTTTTGGCTGTTTTCACAAAATTTCTGAGTATTTTGTGTCAGTTTTAGGTGTATTCGAGCTACCGTAATTCCTTCGAATGAAGCTCATTCAAACATATAACTTCGAGCTCAATTATCTTGGTTCCTATGAAAGATATCAAAAAAGTGTCAACTGATAAAATATGTCTGATATAATGACAAAAAAATTATCAGTTGACACTTTTTTGATATCTTTCACGGTAATAGAGATAAGTGAACTCAAAGTAGACTGTTTCAGCGGGCTATTTGAACGTTTGTTTTTTTTTTCAATTTTTGAGCCATTTTAGGCCAATTTTGGGCTAATTTTTTTTAGAAAAACGGACCTGGTTTTTTCAAGTCAAGCTACGCGGTTAGTCTAACAGAATTCTGACAATTCAATTCTTACCCGGGTTACACAAACAGATTGCTTTGAGCAATAAATATTCGACGGATTGAACTTGGCATCTTATCAATGGAGCCACCGACATCACCATCGCATCGTAATGAGTTTCGCTGAAAACACTTTTTGAAATGTTTTGGAAAATGTTTTTTACTGACTCAAAATAGGGCGTTGGCGATCCATCGGGATGAATTGGTTCTGCGAATTTTCGTTGGACAGAAGAGAATGAAATATGGAGATTCATACAAGCCAATGTGACATGTTTGATCAATATGAATTGATCTTTTGATTCCAACTTATGAAAAAACATGAACGTTTTTGCATACTCAACAGTTGTTACCAGATTGAAGAAGAGCCAATTTTTTCTGGAAAAATTTCAAGTTTTGTTTCGACTGTGACGATATAAAACTGTGACCTTATGGAACTATGACATTATAGAACTGTGACGTTGAAGAACTATGCCATTATAGAACTATGTCATTATAGAACTGTGACATTACAGAGCTGTGACGTTAATGAACTATGCCATTTTAGAACAGTGACATAATGGAACTATGACGTTATAGGATTGTGACGTTGAAGAACTATGCCATTTTAGAACTGTGCCATTATAGAACTGTGACATTGTAGAACTGTGACATAATGGAACTATGACGTTACAGGATTGTGACGTTGAAGAACTATTCCATTATAGAATTGTGTCATTATAGAACTGTGACATTACAGAACTGTGACATTATGGAACTATGACATTACAGGACTGTGACATTGAAGAACTATGCCATTATAGAGTTGTGTCATTATAGAACTGTGACAATACAGAACTGTGATATTATGGAACTATGACATTATAGAACTGTGACGTTGAAGAACTATGTCATTATAGAACTGTACCATTATAGAACTGTGACATTATAAAACTATGACATTATAAAACTGTGACGTTGAAGAACTATGCCATTATAGAACTATACCATTATAGAACTGTGACATTATGGAACTATGACATTATAGAACTGTGACGTTGAAGAACTATGCCATTATAGAACTGTACCATTATAGAACTGTGACATTATGGAACTATGACATTATAGAACTGTGGCGTTGAAGAGCTATGCCATTATAGAACTATACCATTATAGAACTGTGACATTATAGAACCGTGACGTTATAGAACTGACCTATCTGGATGATGTTTCGGTCCTTTTTCTTTCATGCCCGTTGGGAAAAATGGCTTCCGATGAGGTTGAGGTGGAAGCGGCCAATTCGGCATTGGCTGAAAAAAAATGTCTGCGTCTCTCGAAACTCCTGAACTTCGGAACTTCCCGAACTAACCTCATATCTATCGGCATACGCTATTCGACTCTCCGTTTGTAATAAAAACTCAATTCCCGTAATTTCGGTCGATTTCGGATTATATGCACTTTTCCTGAATTTCTCAACTTTCGCCTCCAAATAAATTAACATATCAATTGATTTTTGAAGCTTATTCTCCATCGAATCCATCATTTTTATCACATTTTTCGATTTTTGTGAGTTTATCACTTGGACCACTTGACAATCATTATCATCATCATCCGGCTGCTCCTGTTTGATTTCTTTTCGTTTTATTAGTTTTTTGAAATTAGAGGATTCCGCCTGTTTTTGGTCCAATTCCATTGCCAGGGGATTCATTCCAGCGCTTATACATTTTTGGTGACGACAGAAACGACATTTTAATGGAGTGGCTGAAATTTAAACGGGTTTTCACAATTATTCAAATAGAAATAGGTTATTTTGCGCTGGTTAAATATAAACATACGTGTCAAAACTAGGTCGAATCGCGCCGAAGGCGCACCAACCAGCTCTGGCTCTTCAAAAAGCTGGCTGGTGCGCCTTCGGCGCGGCCAGCAGGCAGCGTTTTTAAATTTTTTTTTCAGAAAAATCTGTCCTAAAACTCACCGCGTTTGTTCAAATCGAAACAATCATTATTTCCCTTGCATTGAAATGATTTTTCCGATAAACACATTCTCCGAAAAAACGTTTTACACCCATTACAAGATGGAACATCGTAGTGATATCCATTTGCTGGTAATCCACAAACCGAACATTCCGTCGGACGGACCGTCCGTCGAGATTCTTTAACTCCTGATGACGTGGATTCAGAAGACGTGACGTCTTCTGGAAAGGATTCTGACAGGTTTTTCGAAAATACCACCGGTGGGATTTGGATTATAGAATATCCAGACGAATCTAGTCTAGATTTCTGAGGATCAGGGGAATTTAGAATCTGAAAAAAAACAAATTTTTTCTGAAAATTAATTAATTAGGAGGGAAAATTACCTCTGGAAGATCCAAAGAGTCATCGTAAGTGGGTGATTCTGTTGGTTGAAGCATATGTAGAATTCTGAAAATTAATTTTGATTTTTGAATGCAAAAATTACATATTGTAAAAAATCTAATAGAAGGTCATCCAAGCCGCCAACTTTAAGCCCATATATCTCGGTTTTTTTGAAAGATAACAAAAAGTGATCCACTGATAAAATGTTCTTCATAATATCAACAACATTTTATCAGTTAATCAATTTTTGATATCTTCCGCAGGAATCAAGATAAAAAGCCTCAAAGTTGGCGGCTTGGGTGGCCTTCTATTAGTATGTTTACGGTATGTTCGTGAAAAAAGTCTGCAAAACATCTAGAAAAGGTGTAGAAAATTTAGAACAAAAAAAAAAGATATTTTTAAGTTGAGCAATGCTCAAAAATCAAAAAAGGAGGATGAAGCCAAAAAAAATCTAATCATAAGATAGAGAAAATTTCATGAATAACAGAGAGAAATGATGTCAGGTGGAATTTTTGATTTTAAAAAATCGAAAAAACAAATTTTACAAACTTAAAGGTGGGGGGACAGGATATTTTACGGGGGATTTTTGGGGCCAGAGTATGCATTCTACCGTAACGGTGTACAACGCTTAATGTCACTCTGCGTACAGCTGTCGCCCTCGCCTTTATGTATGCAATCGGGCAGCGGCTTTCACTTTGCACGCGTAGCTCAGTCGGTAGCGGCGCCGCACCTTCAACACTCGCCTCGACAAGTTCAACTCCTCGAGGAGCATATTTAAACGAAATTTCGACAACATTATTTTTCTCATGTCCCCCCACCTTTAAAGGTGATGTGCGGTGAAAAATTTTATTGCTTTATTTTGTGCAGAAATCCATGTAGATTCACATAAAAATAAAGAAAAAATTCAAAAAAAAAATTTCTTCATTGAGAAAAACGGCATCGAAAAGTCAAAATTGTATCCGGTGGCCTAGCGGCCAGGTGTGAGTTTTCTAGGCCAACTGCCGGTAAAAGTGTGTTCGAATTTTTATTGATTTTCAGTATTTTCTCTGGTTTTTGTCAGGTTTTTTCATACACCTGGGAGGAAATTAACAAAAACATTTTGAAATCTTTTAAGGGACAGGAGATTTTTCGTAGTTTTTTTGTAGTTAGAGTATGAATTCTACCGTCACGGTGTACAACACTTAATGTCACTCTGCGTACAGCTGTCGTCCTCGCCTTTATGTATGCAATCGGGCGGCAGCTTCCTCTTTGCCCGCGTGGCTCAGTCGGTAGCGGCGCCGCACCCTCAATCATCGCCCTCACAAGTTCAACTCCTCGAGGGGCATCTTTGAACGGAATTTCGAGAACATTATTTTTTTTCATGTCCCCCCACCTTTAAGAGATTCAGAAAACCCAGGAGATTCAAAATTACAGGAAAATATCTGAATTTCTAAATTTCAAAAAAAAAAAGTGAAAACAATTTCTTTTCAAATTCTCTAAAAACCGATCTGGTAGGTCCACGACCACGGTCTTGGTTCTGACCGGTCGTCTTTTCCTTATCGATTTTGAGATCAATCACATTCTAAAAGATTGAGATCTCTTCGCGGATCGGAGAGATTTTCGACCTTTAACGGAAAAGTTAGTAACACATTGTGTAGATTTTGAGATTACAGATCATATCTTATTTTTTCACCTTTTTCGATGGATACCGTGAAGGACAAATGACTCGAGAAACAAGAAAAATTCAAGTGGAAGAGGAGATTTTTGGTGGAGATAATTTGGAAGAAATCAGAAAGTGTGACGTCACAAAGACGGGGGAAAAAATGGTTGTCCAAATTATTATCAGTATCAGAAGATGTAAAAAAGAAAATAATTTTGTCCGGGTGCGAGGCATCATGAAAAATTCAAAGCCAAAATAACTGATAAAAAAGTTAACGGAACCTATACTTTTATGTGATTATGACTAAACTTCAAAAATGAAAGAATATCTCAGTCTTCAAGTTTTTGGAAAACGTTTTTTTTTTTTGAAATTCGAAATCTTCGAAAATTCCAGAAATATTTTAAAAATGACTTGATCAAAAGGAAAATATGGAAAAAACACTTTTTTAAAAACTTTCGAAAACTCCAGAAAAAACTAAATTCTGAAGACACCAACGAAACGAAAATCATTTTTCTTCTTTCACATGTTTCTTCAAAAAAAAAAATAAAAAAAGATCGGAAACTTTTTGCACTCTCCACTTCTCTGCATCTCTCTCTCTCTCACTCTCTCTCTATCTCTCTCTCTCTCAAATTCCACGTAGGCCAGACGCCGCGGAGAACAAGAGGGTGTGGAAAACAGAGAGCGTGATAGGGAAAAAGAGAGAAGGTGTACTAACAAGCGAAAAGAGGGAGAGAGAAAGAGAGAGAGAGAGAGAGAGAGGCAGAGTAATAATAGAAGAGTTCGTGTTTGCGTTTTCGGCAGATAATAAAGGAATGACGTTATCACATAAATACATTGTGTCCTAAAAATCTGTATGTACGTCTGTTTGTCAAGATGTCCGCAACCTCCGGTATTGGGAATGTTATCGAAAGTTCTATTTATTTTTCCTATTAAAACTGTCTTCTGAACTGTAGGGGCTGTTCGTTTTTTTTTTGTTTAATTTTTTTACCAAAATGCAGAAACTCATAAAAACTGTCACAGAAGTTTAGAAATTCTGAAATTCAGAAGTTCCAGAAAATTTTCCATTCTTTCAGATTTTTTCAGATTGTTAGGAAAAAACCAATAATTTTTCAAACAGTCATAATATATAAGCTTTGGAATTTCTAGATAACGGTAAAACCTGTATTTGAAGGGACCCTTTTAATAGAAGGACCCCTCTAATACATAGAAGAGCAGTTCAAAAATTCGAAAATTCGAAAATTCTAGAAAAAATGTTCTGATCAAAACTTATTTTTTTTTCTGCTCTCCGGAGATCAAAAATTCATTTGAAAAGTCCAAAAATTGTTCCCGATGTGTGTTTTCATGATTTCAGAACAAAAATGATCAAAATTTGTTTTTCTGAATCAAGAAATTATAATCAAACTACATTTTTTTTTGGAGTTGGATCGGACTTATGGTTCAAATTTAACAGGTCTAGCACTTCTTCGAAATCTTCCGGAAATTGGAAAATTTTAACATTTTTATTATTATGAGATAAAACTATTTGCGATAAACAAAATTAAGATATTAACAGAAAATAGAAAAATTACAGTAGGAAAAATACAACATTAGTTTTTAGTTAATTAATTATAGTTTCAAAAAATTTCAATGAAAATCAAAGATATATTCAAAAATTAGTTTTAAATCTATCGAAAAATGAAAATTTGTTTCAAATTTTCATACGGATGTTGCATTGTATTCAGATAAAAAAGATGTGAAATATCCTGTCTCGTCGAGACGATCACTTGAAAAATCGATAAAAGATCAGTGAAACGGGCGGGTGCTGATTGTTGATAAGTAAGGAAGCAGTATCTAAGAAGAGCCGATGTGTAGATCTTTTGATAAGTATTCAGCATTCCACGACCACTTACAGTCAGATTGGGTAGGGCTGGAAATTTGGATGAAATGAGTTTTTAGGTTTTTTAGAAGTTTAGAAATTTCAGAAATTCGAAAATTCAAAAATTCGGAAATTCTGAACTATTGGAAATCCAGAATTCAGCTTCAAAATTTTTGAATTTTTGAATTTTTGAATTTTTGAATTTTTGAATTTTTGAATTTTTGAATTTTTGAATTTTTGAATTTTTGAATTTTTGAATTTTTGAATTTTTGAATTTTTGAATTTTTGAATTTTTGAATTTTTGAATTTTTGAATTTTTGAATTTTTGAATTTTTGAATTTTTGAATTTTTGAATTTTTGAATTTTTGAATTTTTGAATTTTTGAATTTCTGTATTCTGAAATTCTAAGTTTCTGAATTTTTAAATTTCAAAAATTTCTAGTTTTCTAAAATTTTCTTCAGAATCTCAGGATCTCAAGAATTTCAGATCCCAGAAAATTTCGAGATTCTGAAATTTTATAAATTTCTTATCTTAAAAAAAATGAAACACGAAACACTTGGATTAGAAAAGAAATTCTATCCTCCAGAATCACAATTTTTCAAATTCCTGATTTTTTTTTGAATTTCTGAATTTTCGAATTTCACGATTTTCTGATTTTCGTGGGATTCTGGAATTTTATAAGTTTCCAAAATTTTCAAACTTCTCGGATTTCTAGATTTCTCGAAAAATTATGAATTTTCTCAAGAAAAATTGCTAATTTCGAAAACTCCAAGTGCCTAGAAAATAAAAGAATTCCGAAGATCTGGACCCCAATAACTCACCAGGATTACAAAAGAAGATCTGTGTCAACAACATGAATTCCTCCTGAGTCACTCTCAATTCATTCACTCTCGCCGCCAACCGACACCGTATTCCATTTAAAAATGTTTCCGTGACTCCGTCCACTCTCACTTCGACCACTTCCGTTCCATCTGGGAATGAGATAAACTCCTGGTTCCGAACATTCGCTCGGATTGCATCCGAAAAAATTGAAAAGTCAAAAAATGTATACTTCAGCAAATTCGCCTTATCCGCTGGGTTCATCATTGAGACATGGGTAAATCTTTTGAGAAAATTCAAAGAGGTCATTCCAGTGATAAAAACCCATTCACCCAAATCCATTGGATGGTTTAAAGGTCTCGGACGGAATTGAAGGGGTCCATCGATTTCGGAAACTTCTTTTACTGTTGGATCTCCTTCGAACAGGCAATTTAGCAATTGAAATTCTCGATGAGTCTCTTGATGCTTTAAATTGAAAATCCACGCTGTCAATGGGTCCGTATTATTCATGTCAATTTCAGATGGGGTGTAGGTCATTCCGGCTTCAATGCATCTTTTGAAACGACAGAATCGACATTTTTTAAGACAGTTGCCACTACTCTTACATGGTTCAAGGTTTCCAACGAAGAGAACACGACGGAAGAACATTTTACACGCATTGCAACAGTAGGCCTGGAAAAGGAAAATATTCAAAATCTCAAAATCTCAAAATCTGAATTTTGAGAGATTCAGAAACTCAGAAACTCCAAAAATTCGAGAACATTTAGAAATTTGGGAATGTCAGACATTAGGAGATTCTTAAATTTCTGAAACTCTCAGATGTTATGTCAGATTTCATTCTTCTTCTGAGGTTCCGATTTCCGAATTTTTACAATCTGAATACTCGAAATTCAGGAATTCAGAAACTAGAAATTCAAAAGTTCTGAAATTCAAAAAGTTTGAAAGTCGACGAATTTAAAATTATAGGATTTTATGAAGTTATGAAGTTCCACACTCTAATAGAAAGCCACCCGAATCGTTCGCTTTGAGCCTATGTATCTCATTTTCTGTGAAAGATACAAAAAGTGGTTGAGTAATAAAATGTTGCTGATAAAATGATAAACATTTTACTAGTTGACAACGTTTTGATATCTTTCGAATGAAGTGAGATATATAGGCTCAAAGTGGACGGTCCGGGTGGCGTTCTATTAGAGTGTTTAAGGTATTTCCTAAATTCCAAAATAACATTGAATTTTTGAATTGATGAGCATTTGAATGTTTGAGTTTTGAATTTTTCGAATTTTTGGATTTTCGAATTTTTGAATTTTGGAATTTTGGAATTTTTGAATTTTTGAATTTTTGAATTCTTGAATTTTTGAATTTTTGAATTTTGGAATTTTTGAATTTTTGAATTTTTGAATTTTTGAATTTTTTAGTTTTTGAATTTTTGAATTTTTGAATTTTCGAATTTTTGAATTTTTGAATTTTTGAATTTTTGAATTTTTGAATTTTGGAATTTTGGAATTTTTGAATTTTTGAATTTTTGAATTTTTGAATTTTTGAATTTTTGAATTTTTGAATTTTTGAATTTTTGAATTTTTGAATTTTTGAATTTTTGAATTTTTGAATTTTTGAATTTTTGAATTTTTGAATTTTTGAATTTTTGAATTTTTGAATTTTTGAATTTTTGAATGTTCGAATTTTGGATTTTTTGAACATTGAATTTTTGAATTTTTTAGTTTTTGAATTTTTGAATTTTCAAGAATTTCATATTTTCTGAAAATCTACAGCAATCCACCAAACTCACCCCATAACTGAATCCATTATGTGCTCTCACATTGCAAATAGAACACATTTCACTCCGACGACCTGCCGGAACAACCTCCATTTTTGAAGAATTTTGGATTTTCAGATTATTAGAATTATAAGAAATATCGAGGGAACACAAATCAGAATAAATTTGGACAGAATGAGGGCACAAAAATGGAATTCATCCCTTTTATCATCAAAAATAACAATTTGGCGCCGCCCATTTTTACCAGAGATCAAGAATAAAAAATTGGCGAGATTTAGGATAATTTTGGTTTTTTGGACTTACTTGAAAGGGCGAAAATAGAAATGAGATTAGGGGGCAAATAGAAGAATGGACTTTTGAAAGTTTTTATGGAAAAGGAACATTTTGGGAATTTCAAAATTTTGAAAAGTCTGAAAAATTGAAAAATCAAAAGAACCTTCTAAATTATTCAACAAGAATTTCAACGAAAAATTCGAAGAAAAAAAATTCCGAAATTTAGAAATTAAAAAAATATATCGGAAATTCATATTCTGGCTCGTTTATATATTCGAAAACAGAAAGAAAAAAGATTCTAATCTCAAAATATATGTAGATTAATTTGAAAGTACGGGAGCACTGAAAGATTAACAAGAGAGCTCTTCCTAATCAGGTTTCAGCTGTCCGGCGCTCTCTATGGCGTCTCTAATCTCTTTTTCATTTTTAAATGAAATTTGGAATTTGCAGAATTCCTTCTTGTTCTTTGCCTCTTAGAGTCATATGTCTAGACTAGGAGCACCTAATTTACTCAATTTTTTGGGTAATTACAGAAATTATCCTCCGTTTTTTTCACAGAAATAGATTTTGAAAATAATAGAATCATGCCAACAAAGTATAAAAATTCGATGAAAGATGAAATGACACAAAGGGGACTCGAACCGAACTTTCAGAATTTCAGGGACTTCTAGGAATCTCGAAAAAGTCAAAGCCAACACAGAGAGCTCATAGGAGTAAGACCATTTTTATTTTGATCGTTTTGATCTTTTTCCTATTTTTTCCCCAGGTGATATCTGATTAAATAACACTAAATTGGGGGTGATTTGATGCGTTGGGTGGATTACAAAGTGCTAAGTTCAAATATCGAAACTGGCTTCATTAGTGTCTGGAAAGAACAAAATATGAAAAGAAAGGAAGGAAGGGAAATATATATATATATATCTTGAGGTATTTGCGGAAAATACTAAAGTTTGAAAATTGAAAACTTTTAGAAACATCAAAAAAATAGAAAAATTCAAAACCGATAGTCCAAAAACGAGCGAAATTGCTCATGTTTAACGGAAGTGATGCGCCTTTCAAGTTAAGCACGCAGAGCGTGTACAAAGCGAGGAGGGTGCAGACACGCAGAGTGATCTAGCTTCTCTGCGTCTCTCCTTGTGTTTTACGGCGCACACTAAAAACCGTCATAACTTTGTTCAAAATGGTCTGAAATGAATTTTTGACTGTTGGATTTGAAATGTTAAGTTCTACTGGATGAAGTAAAGATAGTCAAATAAAATTATTTTTTAAATTTTCAAAAATGCGCAGTCCGGAAATTCGTGGTTGCGAAAATTCGATTCTGTTAAAAATGATTATTTTTTTTGAATTTGAAAAACATAAATCCCTCTAGTTTCATAACTTTCTGTACCCTTAAAATTACACATCTCGATTTTTTTTCGCATACTAAAGAGAGTCTTGTTATTCCGACAAAAACAGGTATGTAGGTGTAGAAAAATATTTTTTGGTAAAATACAAAAAATAATAATTTATAAAGAAAAAATCTCATTGTCTGTAGTACGATTTCTAAGAAAGTTATTAGATTTTTTCGCCGAAAATTTTTCATTCCACATTTTTATTGCTATTCGAAAAAGCTAATTGAAATGTGGTCCCAAATTTTGCGATGCACACAGCAAACGCTTGGAACTGTGGCATTTTTCACTAATTTTTTACTGATATGGCTGATTATGATGAAATCGCCAAAAGCCATGTACACCTACAAACATATTATGGTTTTTACTTCGGTTTTCGAGATCTTCTACGCTTGGATTGATATGTTTGTGGCACCGGTAAGGCTAGGAGGGAAATTGAATTTTCGAAAAAAAGAATTGAGTTTTTTTTTTTGAATTTCATAATTTTTTAGATTTTCGGAATTCTTAAACGAAAATAGGATTTACTATAAAAACCAGTTTTATGTATAACTTCAAATCCAACAGTCAAAAATCATCTCAAGCGGACCATTTTGAACAAAGTTCTGATGGTTTTAAGTTGGAGCAGCGAAACACCACGTGAAAGGGGGAGACGCAGAGAAGCGTGAACACTCTGCGTGTCTGAGCACTCCTCTCTCTCTACGCTCTCAGCTTCAAAGGCGCATAACTTCCGTTAAACTTAACCGATTTCACCCATTTTTTGACTACTGGAATTTAAATTTTGTCTAGTTTTTTTTAAAGTTTATTTTTTAAATTTTCTGAAACTTAATTTTCCAGGAACTAATCACCAAAAGAACATACTGGATCGCTGAAACGGATACAACTAAAACCTGGCTACCATTATCGATTGTTTATCCATTGTTGTGTAAGTTTTTGGTTTGGCGGGAAAATCAAAATTTTGAAAACTAATTTTTTAGTGGCTTGGGGAGGCTCATTTGGAATCGCCTTGGCCAGTTTTATCGTTCATTTCATGTTCAGATATTTCACAATTATTGGGTAAAGAAAAAAGTTTTAAGAAAAAAAAGTTGCATTTTCAGAAATAAATTTTTGTTGTCTCAAAAGAATTTTATGGTCTACATTTGGCTGAGTATTCCAGTAATTTGTGGATTTTTCTATGCACTTTTGACACATATTTTTCTACAGCAAAATGAGATAATGGATACACTGATATGGTAGTTTTTCGAAAAAAAAATTTCCCCATTTTTTATTTTCGCAAAACATTTTACAGCACAGACATTGAAAGTCTCCGAAATGTTCCGAAAAATGAGATGGTATATTATGGATTCAGCTTATATTCAACACTTCCGAATCAGGAAATTCAGGAGATCAATTGGAAACATATCAATGGAATTTCATTCATTGGAACTTGTATTGTGAGTTTTGGAATTTTGGAAATTTCAGAAAATTCAGAAAATTGAAAATTCTCAAGTTTTAGAGAATTCAGAAATCCAGGAACTCTAGAAATACAGCGGGGAAAAATGTTAACGAATTATTCAAACATTTGAAAATGCAGAAGTTCAGAATTTTCACGAAAATTCAAAATATTTGGACACTGAAAGTAACGTAACAATTTTTTCTGAAAATTCGATTTTTGGAAAACTTTGAATTTCTGGAATTCTAAAATTCGAACGTTCAGAAATTCAGAAAATCAGAAATTCAAACATTCGAAAAATTCAAACTTTTAGAAATTCAGAAATTCAGAAATTCCAAAAACCCGAAAACCCGAAAATCAGAAATTCAGAAATTCAGAAATTCAGAAATTCAGAAATTCAGAAATTCAGAAATCCAGAAATTCAGAAATTCAGAAATTCAGAAATTCAGAAATTCAGAAATTCAGAAATTCAGAAATTCAGAAATTCAGAAATTCAGAAATTCAGAAATTCAGAAATTCAGAAATTCAGAAATTCAGAAATTCAGAAATTCAGAAATTCAGAAATTCAGAAATTCAGAAATTCAGAAATTCAGAAATTCAGAAATTCAGAAATTCAGAGAATTCAGAAATTCCGACAAATTCGAAAAATTGGGGGAGCATAACTTGTCAATAGAAAAATGTGCGATTCCGAGAAATGCAGGAACAGAATCCAGAAACGAGAAGCTTCAGGGAAATCCTAAATTTAAAAATATTCCTCTTTATTTATGAATATTCCAAAATGACTAAAAAAGAATGTAAACTTCTGATTTTTCGAACTTCTGAAATTGATTCTAAATTTCCAGACATTTTCCTTCTTCACCATGACGATTTTCGCTATCAAAGGCTACTCAGCAATTGGAAAGTTTCAAGGAA